AAGAAGTTCAGATATAGGTTTCTCGTTTAAAGTTCCTTTTGTTGGATTTATACAGACAGTATGGTTCTTATTGTCTTGAAACAGAAACTCATCTGTCATTGGGTTTAATGTCAGTTTTAAGTTTCCTTCTTTCAATGACTCAGATATCTTAGAATAGTTTGAAAAGTTTGTTGTGTTCTTATTTAGAGCTTGTATAATGAGTTGTCGGTTGTGTTGTATTTCTCTCATAGACGCTGTTTCATTTGACATTTTTATTCTAGATAAAATATGCTTCCAATAGAAAAAGAAATTTCAAGAGTTGCTACAACTAAACCATTAGATGAACTTTTTACTAATGTCGGTCAAAAGTTTGAGACAGAGACCGTAAAGCATGAAGGCTATCGTTTTGACTACCCATTAAGATGGCTAAGAGACCCATCTGTCACAAAAGCTATTGGCTTTCGTAGAATGAAGTTTGTGTCTGTAGAAGATAAAAGTTTTCCATTTATTGTAAGGTTTCATATAGATTATATATCTGAAGGGAAACGAAAAATGTGGGAAGAAATTGAGCTAATACAAGTTGACCTTTCATCTTCTCTACAGACTGCGTTAAAAAATATAGAAGATAAAATAAATTCATGTTATGCAAAATATGCTGATGAATATGCAAATACCGAGAGCACACTTTATGTGAGAATTGTATATGACAAACAAAATTCACAAGTGTCATTTCAAATCTACGAAGACAATCCAAAGAAAGACGAACAAATATATACAGAATTCACTGCAATGTCATGGTATTATTTGCAAAGAATGTTAAATCAGAAAGTCGAACTTCCTTTAGCAAATATTTACAGTCGATATGCAAGAGATGAACCATATTTATTTAAAGATGTTTTCGACCCAGCTGCTATTATTGTTCATGCTTCATTTTCTGGCGCCCAAAACTCTTTCTTATGCTTGGCAAATGACTTTTACGAAAAACCTACAAAGTTATACGAACCACCAAGTGGAAGTATTTCAGACTTTCAAGTATGGTTTACTACAGATGGAAGAAAAAGATAATTCCATTATACCATGCGTTTTACTTAGAACTTAGTTTCATATACAACTACTATCGAACGGTAAAAATATAATTTTTTAATACGGTTGAGGTGTTGGATTTGGTTGCCAACTAGACTGTGGTGCAGGTTCAGGCTGTTGTATAACAGGAGCTTGTTCTTCTGGTTCAGGGTCTTTAGGTATAATACCAACAAACTGACCTACTCTTTTACCAATATTTTTGACTCCGTTCCAAATTCCTCTTCCTACGGTTTTTATTCCATTCCATATACCTCTTCCGACATTTCGAAAGAAGTTTCCTATCTTACTGAAGAAACCCATTTTACTATATGTAAAAATCTAATGTCCGCCTAGTCTCTTACGTTTCCTGTTGAGTTCCATAGCATTCTTTAACTGGAGCTCATACATTCTGTTTCTCCTCTGGTAGAAAACATATTCTGGGTCAACTCCTGTGTTCGCGTCATCTGCATAAAGTTGTTTATATCCCACCTCAGGGTTTGTATAAAACTCTTTCCATCTCATATTTGCATACCATGGTGGCAAACCTAACGCAGCGTCATTTGACATGGCAGTTTGCATTTGTACATCTGTTGGCACTTGACCATAGTTTGCCATTGCAGTTTGTATTCTAACTTCATTTGGAATATTCTCTGGGTTTGGTTGTCCAGGTTGCTGTGCATTCGCTAAGTTCTGTGCGTCCATTTAATATTAGATAAAAATATCTCTTACGAGTACATATGCTGAACATTTGCTGGTATTGGTTCATCTTCATATTCTCTATATCTTTCTGCCACGTCAAATAAATAAATGACACAATGGAAAAAACCTAAAACAAGTAGTCCTATTTCAAACCACATTTACTTACTAATAAAATTTCTTTATTGTGACACTTTCTCCAGTTTATAGGACCTCTCTCATATTCTATCTTGTCATATCTAAACTCATAGTCATGTATGTCCTCTAACCATCTCATAACGGTTTCCAAACCACTTTTATCGGATGTAAAGTAAAAGCATGGATGGTTATGTAAAACGTCTAAAGTTTCTAAAGAGTCTCTCAAAGTCCAGTCTACTTGGTATTGAAAATCCCATGTGTTATAGAACGGTGGGTCCACTATAAAGAAAACATTTTCCTTGTCTTTATATTTTTCATACAAATCTGTCCAATGACATCTCACAAACTCTATACCCTCAATATATTTTTCTATGTCCTCTTTGAAAACATTTGTATAGTTAAGATATAAAACTTTTGACATAAGTGTTTCAATGTCATGAACTCTTATAGCACCACTATATAATAGTCTAGCAGATATACTATTCCAGTCTATATATTCTGCTTTTTTCAAAACCTCTCTCACAATATTTTTCTTATCTAATGGTATACGTTCCATCTTACCTATAGGTATCTTTTCTTTTAACTCTTTCAATATTTTGTTAGTGTCTGGAATATGTTTGAGACGGTCCATATAGTTGTCGAAGTCATTGCATATAATCTTTGAGTCTGGGAATATTATATGACACAAATGGGATATATAGAAACTTCCACCGAACAAATCTACAAATGTTAGACCATTCGGTAGTTTCTTAAGTTCTCTCAATAGAATATCTTTACATCTACTCTTATTTCCAAAGAAGGGTAACGGTGGTTTTGTAAAATTCATTTTATATACAATAAAAATGTTTTTTCCCTGAAAAGTGACAGAAAAGTGACAAAACATGAAAACATATATAATTTGTGAAAAGCGACACATTATATAATGTTTTCGACCCAGAAGAAGGCTTCTTCCCAGAAGCAATGGAGGAAGAAGAAGAGTCCTCCGAATAAAAACTTCATTTATACTAAACATCTTCGGGGCTAGAAGGGGCGCAGCCCCTGGAAGCCCCACTTCCTTTTTTTTTTTTTTTTTTTTTAACCCTAATTCATATCATTAGCTGTTCTTTATTGTGCTAGTGATATTTGTAATATATTTACTAAATTGTTTGGGGGCGGCGACAAATTTGCCCAGCCAGTAAAGTATTCAATTTTTTTTTGCATTTTTTTTAAAGCTTCTTAACTTAAATCATGGAATGTCTCAAAGACAAAAGTAGCATACAGCATGTAAAGCTAAAGAAAGATAATCATAATTAATACCTTAATTTTTAATATTACGCATTTTTAGGTGCAAAATTTAAAAACATTCTAATACAATAGAGCAGTTTCCAAAAGTAGCATACAGCATGTAAAGCTAAAGAAAGATAATCATAATTAATACCTTAATTTTTAATATTACGCATTTTTAGGTGCAAAATTTAAAAACATTCTAATACAATAGAGCAGTTTCCAAAAGTAGCATACAGCATGCAAAGCTAAAGAAAGATAATCATAATTAATACCTTAATTTTTAATATTACGCATTTTTAGGTGCAAAATTTAAAAACATTCTAATACAATAGAGCAGTTTCCAAAAGTAGCATACAGCATGCAAAGCTAAAGAAAGATAATCATAATTAATACCTTAATTTTTAATATTACGCATTTTTAGGTGCAAAATTTAAAAACATTCTAATACAATAGAGCAGTTTCCAAAAGTAGCATACAGCATGCAAAGCTAAAGAAAGATAATCATAATTAATACCTTAATTTTTAATATTACGCATTTTTAGGTGCAAAATTTAAAAACATTCTAATACAATAGAGCAGTTTCCAAAAGTAGCATACAGCATGCAAAGCTAAAGAAAGATAATCATAATTAATACCTTAATTTTTAATATTACGCATTTTTAGGTGCAAAATTTAAAAACATTCTAATACAATAGAGCAGTTTCCAAAAGTAGCATACAGCATGCAAAGCTAAAGAAAGATAATCATAATTAATACCTTAATTTTTAATATTACGCATTTTTAGGTGCAAAATTTAAAAACATTCTAATACAATAGAGCAGTTTCCAAAAGTAGCATACAGCATGTAAAGCTAAAGAAAGATAATCATAATTAATACCTTTAAAGTTTAAAATCTTGATTTTTTTTAAAATCAAATATTTATAACTTTAATACATACAGCTTAAACCTTATACTTGTTTTCTCTTGTGAGAAAGCAATCTTACAAAGCTAACAATCCTAAAAAATAAAGAATTAAAATTTCATACAATCTTTTTTCGAATCTGTTCTTTTCTTAAGCCACTCGCTTCGCTCGCATCTTAGTTTCGTAATTTCATACAATCTTTTTTCGAATCTGTTCTTTTCTTAAGCCGCGAGCGAAGCGAGTGGCTTAGTTTCGTAATTTCATACAATCTTTTTTCGAATTTGTTCTTTTTGTCAACCGCGAGCGAAGCGAGTGGCTTTTTATTTTTAAAAAATTTTTTTTCTTTCTTACTTTTTTTTCCCTTACTTACAAATTTGATAGTAACTTACCAAATCTCTCTATCATATAATAATAAATTAATCCATTTTTTGTTTCAAATCTGACACTTTACATTTCTGACATGTAAACCTGTCACTTTTCACTTCACCTCACTGGGCAAGTTTGTGCCCCCCTCAATTGTTTGCAGGTTGAACTAAATTGACTCCGAAATGCTGACTTATAAATGATTATAATGCCTTTTAATTAAGCTTATATCTTAAATGAATGAGCGACTTCGTTTTGCGCAAAAAAATATAATACTGTAAACATTGAATTTTTCAAACCGTTTTCCCCTATGAAAATCTTTTCAAATTCTTTTTCAATGAAAAATATTTTTAAAGTTTTTCAATGAAAAATATTTTATAAGCCAATATAATCACGTATTTTGTTATATGCTTTGAATGATCATTCAAAATTGAATGCAATAAAATATCCTATTCTAAGGATATTCAATATTATAAAATTTTAGATGCAATAGTTTATATCAATTACAATTATTAAATGAGATGCTACAAAATATATATTTTTCAATGTGATCCATTTTATATTTAATTTTTTAAATAGCTATTGAAATCATAAAATGATATTGTCTCTACTCCTCGTTGCTCAGCTAGATGTGCATACATGCAATCATGATCTTGAAATGGGTAACATAACAAGAGAACTTCAAGGACCTCAATCATATCGCAGCCTTAAAAATACCGAATGGAAAAACATCAGAATTAAGGTAGATTATAATTATATTGATAATAGAAAAGATGATGCGCGAACATGTACATGGGTTGGACAAATCGTAACATTCCAAGGCGTAAGATACACTTGTAAGAGGGAGCATATTTTGACATATTCAAAAATTTTGGCTATTAAAGGAACACTTAATAATGTCAAATCATATTTAGAGAGACTTCTTACAGTAATTCCATTCAATTATAATATTGATTATGTGGACTTTCGTAGCCCTTATGGATACGAGACGAATTTTGGCAAACAAAGCGCATACGGTGCCGATATAGTACTTGCAGTACTTTCAAGACCGAGACAGGATAATGATGCTACTCTCGCATCAGCTGCTGGATTAGCAGAAGAGAGAACATATCACAGACCAATATTTGGTGTCGTTTTCTTAAATCCAATGGCAGTTCCTGATACAGCACAAGATGAAAACTCAAAGATTCAAGATTCTTTTATACTTGCGTTCACGAAATTTTCCATGCTTTGGGTATTTCTCATCAGATTTCCGACACTATCATCCACATGATTCCATAACTCCACATTCACAAATAATGCAGTTTCAGAAAGTATGGAAGAGACTTTTCGTTCTTAGTAACACCATACGCTCATAAATTTGCAGTGAAGCGCTTTGGAGTAGAAGTTTTCGTAGGAGACATGGAACTTGCCCATCTGGATTAGAAATCGAAAATGATGGCGGTCAAGGAACAGCAGGAAGTCATTTAGAAGCAAGATCTTACATGTCAGATTTGATGGTTGGCATGACAATTCAAACAAATCTGGACCATTTCCAGTTGACTGATGCTGTTCTTGCATTCTTTTATGGATACAGGTAACTACAAAGTTAACTGGAGAATGGGACAACCATTAGTATGGGGCCACCCAGAATCAATTGATGGAAAACCAATTCCAAACTTTGCAATTGGTCCTCCACAAAATGTTTTCCCTAAGCACTACATGAGAGACTTCTCAGTACAAGAAGATTGGTATTCAAGCTTTGATTTCAAATTCTCCGGACCGTTTTCTGGACCTGCACATATTAGAGCAAGTTATAGCGAAAAACAATTTTATGATCCAAAAGGCATTGGAGTTGGTACAACACAAGTTTATGATTTCATTCCATTTTATTTCCCAAATTATGTTTGTCCTAAGGGACAGGCTATTCTTCCATCAACAATGCATATATTACCACAAATGCGGTACATATACATGCGACGGATATAAATCGTTCACAATTCAAGTCAACAAAGATAACATTGGAAGACAATGGGAAAGCGTCACATGCACAAAAGAAAACGCAACTAAGGAATTTTCTTTGCCATTAGGTTACTATCCCAGGAAAGTTTCTTGTGTTGATCCTGAAAGATTCTGCAGATCTGTGAAACTGAACGAGATGAAGTTTGTTGTTGACCCATTCGACCCTAACTCAAAGCAACTGAGCAGTGATTCTCCAACACCAACAGCACCAGAATCAGGAGGATATGAAAATCCAACTATATATGGAAGAAATGACGATCAACCAGAATCTGGAGGCGATGGAAAAGAAAGTTCAGGTGGAAATTCGAAGGGAAGAGAAGCAAAACAGAATGCGAAAAAGATTATAATCATCTCAACTTGCTCCGCAGCCGCAGCTTTAATTGTGATTGCAGTGATTGTTGCTTTCGCTGTATATTCAGCTAAGAAAGCAAAAGAAAACGCGCAGAACGAAGAACCTGATGCAAATTTATCGATTTAGAAAGAAAATAAATTTCTTTTTTTATTTTCTTTTTTAATTTTTTTTTACACAAACATTTTCTAAAATCTACACCAAAAATCATTATCCTTTTTCTAACTAGAACTCATAAGAAATCATCAATATCAATTATTTTATTCTTCACAGTAATTATATATAAAAATGTGCGATCGACTATTATTTTATTCTGTTTTTTTAGATTGATCTAAATAACCTGTTAGAACTCTTTAGATCGATAGGTTAGAAACTCCGATGATCTATTAATTAGTAAAAAATAATCTAAACGATTTTACACAATATGAAAAAATAATGTTTGCGATCTAATTAACAAAAATAACAAGAATTAATTACACCTTATTTTCAGGATGATTACAACTCTTTATTATACCAAAATAATTTTAAAAATAAAGTATTTACTATGAAATACCATATTTATAATTTGCCAATGCTGAACTTAATTTATGCTTCCTGTTTTATAAAGAATATCAAGTTAGATTAGGAAATACATTTTACAGAGTAATCATGGAGAGCAACAAAAAGAAATTCATCATATTCATGAGAAGTGATATATATATTGAAAAAAAAAATCAAGATCTTTAAAATAAACTTTAAAGGATTCTCCTTACCTAAATCATATTTCTACCATGATTTAACCGATTATTTTGTTATTAAGATCGAAATTCTACTCACATAAAGGCGGCTTCTTATCTTTGTTTGAATAATTTGCTGAGGTTCAGTCATCTTTATCTTATATTAGAACCTATCCCATGTTTTATTAGAAATTTTGCAAATCTTCAAGTATCGCAACATTTTCAAGACACATTTCCACATAATGTTATTAATGTTTATCAAATTTTGATATATTTGGGTAAGAATATTAAAATTTCATACGATAAAGTTGTTAGTGAAAAAAAATAATTAAAGAAAATAAAAAAAGAAATTTATTTTCTTTCTAAACCATTAAGTCTGCATCAGGATCTTGGTTCTGGCCGTTTTCTTTAGCTTTTTTAACAGAATAAACAACAATAACTGCAATAACTGCTATCACTATTAAAGCTGCAACTACGGCACAAACTACGATTATTATCAATTTGCTCTTTTTCTGCTGATCTTCTTTTTCCTTGGAACTCTCAGCAGAACCTCCTTTTTCATCATTCTTAGATTCTGATTGATCACCATTTCCTCCTGGTCTTGATGGGTTTTCATTTCCTCCGGATTCTGATGGGTTTTCATTTATTCCTGGCCTTGATGGGTTTTCATTTCCTCCGGATTCTGATGGGTTTTCATTTATTCCTGGCCTTGATGGGTTTTCATTTCCTCCGGATTCTGATGGGTTTTCATTTATTCCTGGCCTTGATGGGTTTTCATTTCCTCCGGATTCTGATGGGTTTTCATTTATTCCTGGCCTTGATGGATTTTCATTTCCTCCTGATTCTGGTGCTGTTGGTGTTGGAGAATCACTGCTCAGTTGCTTTGAGTTAGGGTCGAATGGGTCAACAACAAACTTCATCTCGTTCAGTTTCACAGATCTGCAGAATCTTTCAGGATCAACACAAGAAACTTTCCTGGGATAGTAACCTAATGGCAAAGAAAATTCCTTAGTTGCGTTTTCTTTTGTGCATGTGACGCTTTCCCATTGTCTTCCAATGTTATCTTTGTTGACTTGAATTGTGAACGATTTATATCCGTCGCATGAATATTCGCCGCATTTGTGGTAATTATATGGCATTGTTGATGGAAGGATAGCCTGTCCCTTAGGACAAACATAATTTGGGAAATAAAATGGAATGAAATCATAAACTTGTGTTGTACCAACTCCAATGCCTTTTGGATCATAAAATTGTTTTTCGCTATAACTTGCTCTAATATGTGCAGGTCCAGAAAACGGTCCGGAGAATTTGAAATCAAAGCTTGAATACCAATCTTCCTGTACTGAGAAGTCTCTCATGTAGTGCTTAGGGAAAACATTTTGTGGAGGACCAATTGCAAAGTTTGGAATTGGTTTTCCATCAATTGATTCTGGGTGGCCCCATACTAATGGTTGTCCCATTCTCCAGTTAACTTTGTAGTTACCTGTGTCTAAAAGAATTGCAAGGACAGCGTCAGTCAATCTAGCAAATGGTCCAGATTCTGTTTGAATTGTCATGCCAACCATCAAATCTGACATGTAAGATCTTGCTTCTAAATGACTTCCTGCTGTTCCTTGACCGCCATCATTTTCGATTTCTAATCCAGATGGGCAAGTTCCATCGTCTCCTACGAAAACTTCTACTCCAAAGCGCTTCACTGCAAATTTATGAGCGTATGGTGTTACTAAGAACGAAAAGTCTCTTCCATACTTTCTGAAACTGCATTTTATTTGTGAATGTGGAGTTATGGAATCATGTGGATGATAGTTTCGGAAATCTGATGGAGAAATACCCAAAGCATGGAAAATTTCGTGAACGCAAGTATAAAAGAATCTTGAATCCTTTGTGTTTTCATCTTGTGCTGTATCAGGAACTGCCATTGGATTTAAGAAAACGACACCAAATATTGGTCTGTGATATGTTCTCTCTTCTGCTAATCCAGCAGCTGATGCGAGAGTAGCATCATTATCCTGTCTCGGTCTTGAAAGTACTGCAAGTACTATATCGGCACCGTATGCGCTTTGTTTGCCAAAATTCGTCTCGTATCCATAAGGGCTACGAAAGTCCACATAATCAATATTATAATTGAATGGAATTACTGTAAGAAGTCTCTCTAAATATGATTTGACATTATTAAGTGTTCCTTTAATAGCCAAAATTTTTGAATATGTCAAAATATGCTCCCTCTTACAAGTGTATCTTACGCCTTGGAATGTTACGATTTGTCCAACCCATGTACATGTTCGCGCATCATCTTTTCTATTATCAATATAATTATAATCTACCTTAATTCTGATGTTTTTCCATTCGGTATTTTTAAGGCTGCGATATGATTGAGGTCCTTGAAGTTCTCTTGTTATGTTACCCATTTCAAGATCATGATTGCATGTATGCACATCTAGCTGAGCAACGAGGAGTAGAGACAATATCATTTTATGATTTCAATAGCTATTTAAAAAATTAAATATAAAATGGATCACATTGAAAAATATATATTTTGTAGCATCTCATTTAATAATTGTAATTGATATAAACTATTGCATCTAAAATTTTATAATATTGAATATCCTTAGAATAGGATATTTTATTGCATTCAATTTTGAATGATCATTCAAAACATACAACAACTCTTTGATTCAATTTTGAGTATAGCTTGAAAAATTATATGTCTTTAATCTTTGTTTATGATTAAATTTTTCAAATCAAATCAAGCATTGAAGAAATCTCAATCTCCAACATTGAAAATTGAGATCTCGTCTCAATCTCTAACATATGATGGAAAAATACGTGATTATATTGGCTTATAAAATATTTTTCATTGAAAAAGAATTTGAAAAGATTTTCATAGGGGAAAACGGTTTGAAAAATTCAATGTTTACAGTATTATATTTTTTTGCGCAAAACGAAGTCGCTCATTCATTTAAGATATAAGCTTAATTAAAAGGCATTATAATCATTTATAAGTCAGCATTTCGGAGTCAATTTAGTTCAACCTGCAAACAATTTAGTAAATATATTACAAATATCACTAGCACAATAAAGAACAGCTAATGATATGAATTAGGGTTAAAATAAATATGATTGCTTTAGTCAATCATAAAAACTAATTTAAGTTTAAAATAATGAAAGGATAATTTGATCGTTTTTAAAAATCAATTATTTTTGATGATTTGCAAGAATCTTTGAAAAGAATATAATATAGGTTCTATTTTTGTAAAATTTATCCAAATCATGTATTACATAAATTATGATTAAAACGATGAAAGAACCAAAAAGTGTGTTTTGTGTTTTGTTGTTGCGTGTTGGATGCGGGATCCTGTTATTTCCGAAATCGACAAAAAATTTGGAAATTTAATTTCCGAAATCGAAATTATATTAATGTTTTTAATATTCTTATATCAAAAGGATTAAAGTTCATTAAGGGTGCACACGAGAGGACCATGTAAACTTCAGAATTTAGAACCTTATTTTTAGGCATTATCTTGGCTACCTATTTAGGCTCGAAAAGCAAAAAATATCAAAAAATACAACTTGACTCCATTATGACCCTTTCATTGAGGTAGTTTTTATCCGCTAGTATTTTCCCTTTGAATCTCTTTACAATTCGAAATCAAATTCAAAACTCAGTAGAAGAAAGGAAGAATCGACTTACTACGGTTGTAATACGAATAAATGCATATATTTAGTTATTTTTATTTACATAATAATTGTTTGAAGCTCATATTCCATCAAATTTTTAAATAAAAACATTAAAATGTTGAAAATGTTCATATATTTTAATAGGGTTTTGGCACTTTATTGAGGAATTACTACATACATAGTCGAACTGAACTTGATATTTTGAAATTTAAATTATTTATCAAAATTAAAATTTAACTTGAAATTTATAATTATTTAGTCATATTTTGCATAATTCTAAGTAGATTTTGTAAAAAATCAAGAAAGAAAAAATTTTAACGTGCTTTATTTTTTCTTTTTTATAATAATACATATTATTATATAATTAACATATTCATAATGTTTCACCCTTTCAAAAATATAATCCTCCTCCTCTCAAATAAACGTACATACGGGTGGCCTCTTTTTTCAAAAAATTAAAATTTGAAATTTTGGGCTCAAATATTAGAGATTTTTTCAACCTTCAACGATATATGTTGTCTATATCAGACCTCCTTTCTTTTTGATACTTAACATTGTTCCTAAATCTTAGCCGTTAAGGGTGTTCTGAAAATATTTTTTTTTTCGAAAAAATTCGAAAAAAATTCTTAAAATTCAAAAATCCCTTAATTCCTGAGGATTTTGGAAAAAAAGTTTTTACATGAACATGTGTATATTATATGAAGTATATTGATAAGGTAAAAATCAAATTTTATTGCATATTCATCGAGAAAATAAACTAACGAATCCCTCAAAATTGAGAGGGTAATCCTCCTCCTCTCAAATAAACGTACATACGGGTGCACCCTTAATAATTGTAATTGATATAAACTATTGCATCTAAAATTTTATAATATTGAATATCCTTAGAATAGGATATTTTATTGCATTCAATTTTGAATGATCATTCAAAACGTAGAATAAAATACTTCATTATATTGTCTTCTAAAATATTTTTCATTGAAATTTTTTAAAAAATATATCTTTCAATGGAACAGGTTATGAATCAATTTTCATAGGGAAAAAAACGGTTTGAAAAATTCAATGTTTACCGTATTATATTTTTTTGTGCAAAACTAAATCGCTCATTCATTTAAGATATAAGCGTGATTAAAAAGCATTATAATAATTTATAAGTCAACATTTCGGAGTCAATTTAGTTCAATCTGCAAACAATTTATTAAATATATTACAAACGTCACTAACATAATAAGAAACAGCTAATATTATTAATGATATTTAATATTGGATCTCATTTTACTAACCTTTACTAAAAAATTTCATAAAAGAAAATATTAGGGAAAACCGCAACCACTTTTTTAAATCACGATTTAAATATATAAATCGCGATTTTTTAGAAAAATCGCGACTTTTTTAAAATCGCGTTTTTTAATGAATTGCGATTTTATTGTGGTCGCGATTTTTCTAAAAAATCGCGATTTATATGGAAAATCGCGTTATTGGTTCAATCTAAAGATCATTATTTAAAAAGTGAACTAAAAAATATAAATATAAGAATAAAATAAAGGGCGCGTAAAGGGTTGAAAAAAAAAAAAGGTAGTGGGGCTTCCAGGCGCGTTGCGCCCTCTAGCCCTGAAGATGTTTAGTATAAATGAAGTTTATATTCGGAGGGCTTCCAGGGGCTGCGCCCCTTCTAGCCCTAAGAATTTTGCCCAAGACCCAAGAGGAGGACCGAACCCCAGCCGACCAGCCGGTGATAAAAACCAAAACCGTTTTTTAAAAGTGACAGACAACTCCGTTTTGTAAAAGTGACAAAACCGTTTTTCACTATATAAGAGATATGCAAACAAAAAAGTGACAGCCGCATGTTTTAAACTACAAAAACCGTTTTTTACTTCACTTAAAATGCCACGTAAGCTACGTAAGAATATACGTAAGAGGAAGAGAGCATTGAAACATCCAATAGTAAAACTGACACCACAACAACAGTTGCAACAACAAATGATGAATGACCCCACTATGTTGCAACAAATGTCAAGCAACCCTATGCTTTTAAACAGAGTTATTGGTGCACAGAGTGGAGGTTTAAGAGCGGCACTTTTAGCGAAAATGGCAGGCTATGGTGGAGCTGCAGACGGAACAGCTTATAACCCTCAAAGTCAAATGAATTTGAGTTCACTCAAAAATCAAATAACAGATGTCAAAAAGTCAAACATAGACATACAGAAACAAATAAGTGAAAACGAAAAGAAACTAGAATATGACAGACACACAAAGAAACTAAATGAGTTAAACGTAGAGAAAAAGAAGAAAGAAGAACAACTGAAAGAACTAAGTACAGAGGAATATGCGAAAAAAGTGTCAGAAAAAGCAGCAGAAGTAGCAAAAATGGAACAAGATGTTATAAATTTGAAAAACCATACTACTCAATATAAAGTACTGAAAGATGAAGAGATAAAACAAAAAGCCCTGAAGACATATATGGATAGCGATGAGTATAAAAAAGAAGTTGAAGCAAATGTAAAGGCAAAAAACTTTTACAGTTGCAAAACCAAACCGTACAGTATGAAAACTTAGCACAAGAAAGTAAAAATAACGACGCAGCCATGCAAAAGGCAATGAAAAGCGCAGAATATATAAAAGCTAATAATGACTGGTTAGATGCCCAAGCCAACGCTAAAGCAGCCCAACTTATAGGGTCAATAAGGACAAAAATACAAGCGGATGAAGACAGTTCAAATGAAGCTTTAATGAATGCCGACTTTAAGAATGCCTTCGAAGCTCTTCATAGTAAGGTGAAACTAGTGAACGACTTCTCATCTGGAAAGAAACTGAAGTCTGAAGGTTTCGACAAAGAGTTAAGAGAAGTAGCACAAAATATGACGAAAATAACAGATGCAGCAACGAGACAGGCAGTTCAAAGTGCCTATGACGCCGTTAGAGCAACTGTTGTGGAAAGTCAAGAAAAAGAGTTACAACAGACCAAAACAGACCTAGTAAATGCTTTCTTAAGAACGAAAAGTCAGGTAGGACATTATGCTGCAGATGGAACATATGTGCCAGCTGGTGGAACTTATATACCAGCTGGTGGAACTTATATACCAGCTGGTGGAACTTATATACTAGCTAGTGGAACTTATATACCACCAAACCCTCCAAGAGAAGCACCTGCACCAGGACTACCTAAAACATTTACATCGTCACATGGACACAGACACAGGCATGCACCAAAACCAACACAACAACCAACAGTTCAAAATCCAGCACCACAACAACAACCAGCACCACAACCAACACAACAACCAACAGTTCAAAATCCAGCACAACAACCAACAGTTCAAAACCCTGCACAACAACAAGCACAAACAGAGCAAGGACATAAAAGAAGTAGAGAACAAGGAAACCAAGAATTCTTAAAAATGCTTAAGAAAGATTATAGTTACCCAGATACTCTTGACTTTAGTGACAGATATAAAGAAGCTATTAGAAAGTTCAAGGAAGGAAATACTGACCCGAACCTATTTAGCTTTATGGCTCAGCACCAAATGGGATATAATTTCAAACCTGGAAAATACAAGCTCGCTAAGGGATATGATTTAATAGCATATCATCCAAATGACATGAATGAATTTACTCCGAGATATTTGGTGTCAGAGCTAAATGATAATTCAACTCTCTTCATGAAACGCGTAAAAAATAGAGACGGAACGAAAGAAGAAAGGTTTATGAGTCCAGATGACTTAGATAGGGAACTTGTTAAAAACGGTCTCGGAATATATGAAATGCCAGCAGATGAGGTACAAGAAACTCAACAGGAAGAAGTTCAGATACAACCAGACATGGAAGAAATAGTTCAGCAACAACAGCTAGAAGAGCCTGAAGGAAACGAACAAGTCCCTCCTTTGGAAACTAACTTCACAGAACTAGATGAAAATTTGGAACAGCCGAAAAATCTTGACCCTCAACAAGTGTATGCGGAGAATATGGAATCTTTCCAAGAGTCTAAGAAAAATTCGGCTGACATAGTAGAAGAATATCGAAAAATGTTCGCCGACATACAAAAGACTCCAACATCAGATGAAAATATTCAGCATAGAATGGAAGTACTGAAAAAAATGTACGCAAATACAACAATCCTTTTTACTTACGACCATATAACGTTCAATCTTTGGCTGAACTCGGTGAAAATAAAAGGTTAAATTTCAACAAAACATATAGAAATGAAACATTGTTTAAAGTTCATTCAGAACCTAACCAATATGGAAACAAACCTACTTTTGTTTCTGCAGACTATGGAACTACAATGAGATGGGGTCATAAAGCTAATCCGGATAGGTGGTTCATAAACTTACAACCAAATTCCAAGAAGTTGTAGACGCAATGGAAGTGAATGGTGAACCAGATATAGCTGGTATTTTCAGCGCGGCTTTTAATGCCATTGAAAGATATGAAAGATGCAGATATTTTGGACCAGTATGAAATGAACATGGCTGAAGGAAATATAACACCTGACGTTCTAGAACATTTATCTCAAAGAACTACACAGAACCATAGAGATGGTATATTTGGTGAAGAGTTTAGAAAGAAAGTTAGGGAGAGAGAAGGAAGAGAACCTATTGTACATGACCTTGCAAACGAAAGTTTGCAAAATGTCATAAAAACTTACTTTGCAGACAATGAACCGAGAAAGGATGAATATTTAAGAAAACTCAAATAGACAGTACCAAATGAAATGTTAGTATTGAAAAACATGTTCCTTGACAAAATAAAACCAACTACAGAAATAAATGACGCAAGACTGAAACATTGGGTAAAAGCTTTCCCATTCACAAAAGATATTATTGGTAACATGGAAAGAAACCAGAATGGCTACAAAACATATATTTGGAAATGAGCTTATTCCATATGGACAAGCTCTGTTTGAAGAGCTTGAACCGGAAACTCAGGAAAGAGTCATGCAAACAATACGCGAAGACTCAAATACAAACTATGACGAAATCTTTCTAGGATATAGGTTACCTGAGATGGGCGACCAGAGCCCAAAGGCAAAAAGGACATGGGAAATTTTACAACATACTAGGTGAACATGAGGCAAAGATGCAACAACTTGAAGCAGAGGGCAAGTTACCAAAAGCGACACCAAAGAAGAAAGAGTAGAACAAAGTGAAAGTAGTGAAGAAGTAACTTCATCTAGTGAAAGTAGTGGCAATGAAGGAAAAAGAAGAGTTAAAAACTCAGTCAGGAAAGTAAAGCTTGGACGAGTGGGTTCTATTATGACACATAAATCCAACTATTCTATATTTTTACCCATATGAAATGTACGCCGCTCAGAATATAACGCCAACAGTTTTGGATGCCATGAACGGAAATGTTTCCGAATGGTATAACGAATGCGACAATGCCATTAGAAGGTCAGAAATAGTTCCTGGAACTTACGAATATACAACTGCTGTTTCTTATGGAAACGTAGGTGAGTTTGGAGAAGGTTCTTCAACAACAGTAGATATTGCTTGCGACAGATTTCATATTATTTCTATTGACAACTCATTCTTATACGTGGAACAAGACATTGAAATAAAACCTTCTGCCAAGTTGTCTGACAAGAAAGGTTGCAATGGAATTTTCTATGTCGGATACCAATATGCTCCAGAAGTTTTCATGGGATATAAGATATATTCTAACTCTGACTTAGTTCAAACAGTAACATGGGCAAACTATGAATGGTTCGCTTTGAGAAACTCAGTACAACCACAAGCGAGAGAACAAACAGACCAGTATGCAACTATTGAGAAAATAAGAAGACTTGACCCTAACGTTCCAGGAGTTTATGTTAACCTTTCTGGTTCAGATGGAACTGCTGCCACTAAAGTAAAACTGAAACTTAGAGTTCCTTTGTCATCTTTCCTCATCTTCAGGTTTTTAAGATACTTGCCAAACTGGGCAGGAAAAATTTCTATTGAACTTACTCCAAGCAAAAATAACTTAGTCATTGCACCAACACAAGACCCATTCACTCTTACAGACGTAACGGGAACAAATAAAACGTCATTCGCCGACTTTTGCAAAGACAAAGTTGACTTAGACTTTGGTTTCTCAAACCTCAACACTGAAGTAAACTATTATTTCAATGCTGCTGGAACTGCTTGGGACCCAGTTAAGTTCACATGCGAAAAATTTGAATGCAAGAGAATAGAAAGCAGACTTGCAGTCTATATGTTGGACCCAGATATTTCAAATGCTTTAGCTGCAAATATATTGCAGTTCCACTTATGTTCCCTATACACCAAATATCTGTCAAAGACTTTGCAGGTGAAGTTGGAAACCAAAGTGCTGACCCAGGTGCAAGAACAGATATTGCTTTAACAACTGCAATGAAACATGCAGATACTATGTTTGTACTGTTCAGACGAACTATAAATGACTATTCTTGTTTCTACAACCCTGGTATTAAATATCATATAAACATAGATGGCAAATATTATCCAAGAGAAGAATATTCTACAGTTGAGGATATGAGGTCATACAACTTGACATTAGATGCTATGAACTTTAACAACAACTTCACAACAACCATTAACCCTGAAATGCAAAGTTCTATTATGCCATATGTGAAGTATGGACTCATACAGGAGGTCAAAAAAACTCAATATACAAATGGAGACCGTTCAAACTTTTGGCTTGGCATTCCATTTGCTGACTCAGAAGACTTTATGGGTGGTATTTCAACTGTTGGTACTGTACAAATACAATATACTGGTGACAGAGACGGTCCAGATGAATTGAGAGCAAAGAAGTTTACAAAACCAATAGCACTTTTCACGGAAGATGCTCTTTTGAAGATTCGTTCGATGAAACCTGCTGGGGCTCCTCAGATTGGCATAACGACAGCTTCCATCGAGCAGATTTTGGCAGCAGGTCCAGTAAGTTGTTCTTGAACTGACTTCTCTCCGTCAAATATTGACAGTACGCCAGTTTTGACATAATATTGTATTATAAACTTTCCTTTAGAAATATCTGTAAGTTTTGTTGTTATATTTTTGTCAACGTCAAGAACTTTCACCATCTCGGTTATACCAACTTTCTTTGCTTTATGAAAATATTTAGGTTCAGCAAAGACTGCTATTCTATAACATTTTCCATTGTTTGTGTAAAGAACTATTCTGTCAATGTATTTGTATTGTTTGTGAGTATAAACTTTGTTCTGCTTCAATTCGAAGAGATACTCAAATGCGTCCATATTTTTATTCGAAGTAAAATGTCATTTCCGAAAAATAGAAGCGTAAGTGTTTCAAAAGGTTTAATGGCGGTGGCAGATGTGAAGTTAAATTCACCAACTCAAACAAACAGTCAAAGTGTTATTGTCAATGTCAAAGACAGAGATGTTGAAGTGGGGAAACCATACGAAGACGAAGATGGTATAACAATTGTTCCTGTAAAAGAACCAACATATCCTGAAGTTAGCAGAGACTTAAGTTCTGTTGCAGATATTCGAAACGACTACCAACAACTGAAAGACAAACTTCAAACTCAGGAGAAGATTTGTCAAGCTTTAAGTATAATGTTAAACTTGGTCGAACACAACCCTGTAAAAGTGAACTCATATGTCATTGCACCTCATGAAGTTTTGAAAGAACTATTGAAACTTTTGACAGAGGCAGACGATATAAACATCAAAGAAATAGAACCCGACATTAGTTGCTGTGGTGTTTCATATAATGTCATTGACAAGATATACGTTATGAAAGGAGGTGAAACGTTGAACTTAAAATATAGTTTCTCAGACGTTATAAAAATATTTGACGACCACAACATTTCATTAAAATTTATTTTGCTAAGTAAATGGCAGAAGACATAATGGTTTATATACTATTACGACTAAAAACCCTGAGTCATATAATTCTATAACAACAAACTTACAAAGTCCTCAAGGACGATATTGTAAACTAACCTTAAACACAATGACGACTAAAGCCTGTTTTGCTCTTTTGACACCAGAAGACTTTATTGTTGTGAATGGTAAAAAATACTCCTTTGAAGATACTTACTCAGATATACCACCAACAGGTTTTGTTGACTTATTTAATACTTTAAGGACGGGTGTAACATGTGCTGCAACTAGAGCAGGTTTCATTATGTTTGGATGTCCGACTGAGTTTACTATAAACGATATGAGCTATAATACAAAACTTATTTCTGGTTTTTACTACCAACAGTTTCCTATAACAGGAAAAGGTGTCATACAAGGAATGTCTATTCCATTGACATTAAGCACACCAATCTTATATATTGTTTCAAACTTAGGTTCAAAGTGTTATTCGAATGTCGACAGAAACTATTATGACCAAAAGATACTTATGCGTATAAACAATACTTTCTCTGCTGGTTTGCCTATTGTTCATTCGAATGCAGAATTTTCAACCTTAGTGAACTCAAACACTTTGGCAAGTATAACGTTGACATTAGTTGACGCAAACTTTGTTCCTGTAAAACTTTTATGTCCTATGTATTTGTCAATGACGGCAGAAAGTTTCGAATTGGAAGATGCAACTGGTGAAAGTATTGTATTACAAGAACAACTTCAACAACAAATAGCTCAAGAACAACAAATGCAACAAATGCAACAACAAAGTCAAGAATAAAAAAATAATATTTTTTTTATTTTTATAAAAATGTACAGAATAGATGTTTCAGATTTTTATGACTTCCAAGCATTCAGAAATATGTGTCCATTTCGAGACTATAACAAAGCAGTCGAGAATTTGAAACGTTTAGTCATTTATGTCGACTCTGCCCCAGAATGTTATGTTATGAAAGAATGGGATGTTGTCTTTAACAAACCAAGAGCAACAATAGTGTCTGAACAAGAATGTAGACAAAAACTTAAGAAAATAAAAGTCGTACAAGTTGGAATGAAGATGTTAGATGCTTGGGATATCTTATTGTCAAAGTTAGAAGATTTTTCAGTTCGAGGTATAAAGTTCTATACACCTTCTCCAAACTTCTATTCTATCTTCACTGGATATAAATACGAACAAGTAGAATGGAAACACAGTATTATAGAAGCTTGGTTAGACCATGTCAAAGAAATTATATGCAATGGAAACGAAAAGGTTTATGAGTATATCTTATGTTGGTTTGCAAACATCTTACAACATCCAAGTGCTAAAAATGAAACTGCTCTCATTATAATTGGAAAACAAGGAACAGGTAAGAACACATTCTTTACAGATATTTTGTGCAAACTGTTAGAAGGTTATTCGAACCCTAATATGACAAACTTAGAAAACATCTGCGGTAAATTTAACTCTTCAATTGAGAATATGAAACTTATAGTTTGCAATGAACTTCAAAGTATAGATACAACAAAAGTTTTGAACTCAGATGCTTTGAAGAGTCTTATAACAGACAAAGTTGGAGTTGTTGAAAGAAAGTATAAAGACCAAAGAGTTTGTGAAAATGTTGCAAACTTCATTATGGTTTCAAACAATTCTGTTCCGATGAAGTTAGAAAGTTCTGACAGAAGATATGTAGTTGTCAGAACGTCAGATTCTCATATGCAAGATACAGAATATTTTGACGACTTAGCAGAAACTTTGACATCTGACTTTTACAACCACTTGTTCTCATATTTTATGACATTAGATATTTCTAAGTTCAATCCAAGACAAATTCCACATACCGAAGAGAGACAAACATTGTTAGAAGCAAACAAGAGTGTATATGAACTGTTCATAGATGAAACTGACTTTGTGTCATTAGATGAAAGGTCATTGTACGATTCGTATAAACAATATTGTCAAGAATATGGTTATATGGCAGCTTCTAAACGAACATTCTTGGCAAATGTCAAAAGTCTTTTAGATGTTCAGAATGGTGTATATACAAAGAAAAATTTTTCTGAGTAAATTTTTAAAAAAAATATTTTTTTATCCGATAGAAAAGATGACAAAATTCATCTCAGTAAACAAGTACATGTCAGGACTTAAAGAAGAACTAGACCCATTCACATATTTGAATGTTTACTTCTACCATTTTGAAAAGTCTTCATTCAGCAAAGTTTGGAACATCGAACCAGTTAAGTTTGCTATTGTGACTAAAAATGGTGCGAAATTTGAAGACTTAGACATAGAAGGTTTGTTAACAGTCAAAGAAAGTTTTGACAGAAAGTTCTCAAACCTTAAAGAAGGCAAAGCATACAAACTTGTTATACCTTATGAACCAAAGAAAGCAGACGACTATGAATATTATGAGTCTAAAGTTGTAGAAGTTCAAGGTAAATTGGGTAAAAAGATTTTAGAGTCTAGGCCAGTGTTTACTCCTAAAGAGGAAGAGAACATTGACATTGACCCAGAAATGTTCTAAAAATAAAATTTTATTTTTACATGTCAAATTTCTTTTTCTCTGGAACTGGCTCTGGTTCTTTCTTCTCTTCTTCTACTTTTTTCTCTTTCTTTTCTCTCTTCTTCTTTTCTGGTGGAGTTATGTCAAATTTGGCGCAACTATATTTATGTAAAAGTTCTTTGTCCTTTAATAGCTCATCTATTCTGTTTTCTATTTCATCTTCAAGAACAGCGCATGTGTCTTCTTTGCATTCTAAGAAGTTTTGTTGGACTTCATCTCTCCAAGAGGCGTCATCTCTGTCAACAAGTCTGTCATTGACAAATTTTAAGACTGCTCTGCTTAATGTTTTATGGTTCTTGTCATATTCCCAGAAACAGAACTTTAGAACAAATTCACCTTTCTTGTTTACACTATGTAAGATTTTATGGTCGACAGATTGTTTTGCTGTCGAAAAGCTTGTCTCGAATATAGATAGCGAAATCGCTAGACATTTTCTAAAAGATAAAAATTTTAATTTTTCTAAAAATATGTTAGAAAAAAAGTTTGCTGACATTGACAAGAAATTTGAGAATGTTTTAAACAAGAACAAGAGGAAGTTAGAAAATGCTCAGATAAAGCCTATACATGAAAAGTTCTTATTTGCTCAGAATGGTATAACAGGTCTAATTGCACCACCTGGGTCGGGTAAGACTTTCACTTATCTTAAAATGGCTGCACAACAACAAGAACTAGATGAGAAGAACCCATTCTATGAGTTAGTTGTTATTTGTTCGACTTCTGGTCAATTTGACCAAACCGTCAATTCGTTCAAAGATATTATAAAGAAGTCTAAGTTAGTATGTATAAAGGATACTGAGTTGTTAGATTGGATAAAGAAGTACCAAAGAAGAGTTTTGAAGTATAATGCTATAAATGAGTATATAAATTCTAAGTTTAAAGACCCAAATGAGGAAATGCAGAGAATATTAGAGAAGAAACACTTCAGAAACAAACAGAAAGAGATAGAATACATTTCGAAGAAATTGCAATCTTACGATTGGAAGACTTACCCTCACAGATGTCTTCTTATCTTAGATGACTTTGCTTCTCATCCTTTGTTAAAGAATAGAGAACAAGATATGTGTCGAATTCTTAAGAAGCTCAGACACTTTAACATCTCAGTTGTCATTTGTGTACAGACAGCAAAGAGTTTAAGTAAGGATGTTAAAAGAATACTTACTGACATAATACTTTTCCCCGGATTGTCCGAAGACGATTTCATGGAACTTATGAAAGAGTCCATGGCAGGTAAGTTTGACAGACATGAACTATGGGAGAAGTACAAAGTCATACAAGACCCTCATACTTCTTTCAGAATTCATATCTACGCAAACAAAGTTCAAATTGTAAAAAGTCAAGCTTGAAAAATAAAGAGTTCATTTACTCTGCTTGTTTGAAGTTGTCAAAATACTCTGTTATTTTTTCTTTCAGTAGCGGTAAGTCTTCTTTGAATGTAAGTATTGTACAACCTTTCATATCATAGTGTGTTTGAGGTAACGTATCTTGAACTATTTGTTTCACATCTTCATTCGGTGTCATTGAAATCGGTAAGTTTTCGCGATAGAACCAATTTTTGTCAGATTTGTAAATCTTAGCTAAGTCGTAAAAGCTTTTGTTGTTTCTTCTGACTAAATGCAACATAACCATATCTTTATCTTCTTCATTTTCCATCTCTTCAGTATAAATCATATACTTATAGTTCTTTTCCTTTCCTTTTGGTACCGAACGTGGTATTCTTTTCTGAATGCTTTTGTCTTTTGCTTCAAGCTTGTTTTCCATCTCTTTTCTCATTTCTGTATGTAAATCGTCAAGAAGTCTGTAAATATACCAAGCATAACGAGGCGAAGCCCACATTGCTACAGCATTTACAAGAAGTCTATGTACATAATATCCTCTCAAACCGTTTGGCAATTTTTCACGATTTTCATAGAGTTTTAGGCGACCCCGAAAAAAGTATGTCTCGCTGTTCTTCACTGTTTTCAGAAAAAAGTCTGTCTCGCTGTGCTTCGCTCAAAAGTTCTTGTGTGCTTTGGTTTTTGAACCAATCGTCTGTATGTTTGGTATCTGGAGCAAAACATGCTGTCAAAATACTTTGCATTTGGTACATATCGTCTTTGACCGAACGAATGAGGCGGAGTTGTTTGTTAAACTGAACCCACTCATATTCTTCATTTATAGCTTCATGGACTATAACTGTTGTTGTGTTCTCTGTTGTTGACATTACTGTCTTTATATTCCGGATAAAAAAATTTGTTAGAAAAAAATTAGCGTTATTTTTTCTATCTTTCACAAAAGACCAAAAATAAACGCTTTACATGTATTTTTCAGCAACTTCGTCAAATAATTTTATAGCTTTATCTATCTCATCTACTTCAAACGTTTCTTTACCTTTTATGGGAGCACCATACATTTTCTCAAACTTTTCAAGTAGTTCTGTTTCTGCAGCTCTCATATCATTAACAAACACAACCTTGACTCTATTGACTGTACTGTCATATCTTAGAGTTATATTATATGTTCTTCCTATCTTATATCTCTTTGTATTGAAGTCCTTCGGTTTCTGAACGATGTAAAGTAAGCCTTCACTGCAACGTTCCGTATCGAATGAACCATATGTTATGAAGTTATATCCAACAACTGGGTCTAACCATAACAAAACTATTGGTATAAGACTTTTGTCGATGAGATATGCTGCAGTTCCATAGAATCTTACCGATATCATAAGCTCAGGATTTCTTGTCAAAATTTTCTGAGTTGAAGCAATTCTAACCCAGTCCTTTGTTTTCTTTCCAGATGGAAATATAATGTCTGACAAAGAATATTTGTTGTATTTCTTTGAGTATCTTACGTTTAAATCACCTATTCTAACCAATTTGGTGTCATTGTCTATCTTTCTAACTGTTTCAAACTCATTGTTTGACATATATGTCTTTACATACAAAATAAAAAAATAAATAAAAATAAAACTAACTTTATTTTTTCTATCTTAAGGAAATTCATGAATTTCATAGAGTTTTGGCGACTGGGTTTTTTTACTTACTCGCTGTTCTTCTCTCGGTTTTCCGAGGGAAGCAAGCATATGAGGAAATTCATGAAATTTGGTCATTTTTCAGCAAAAATATATTTTAGGTGAAGTGGTGAGATCTCACCTGTTTTCTCACCTGTTTTCTCACCTCTTGAATTTTCATGACTTCTTCGTAAATGTTTTGTCAAGACTTCATCGTAAATGTTTTGTCGAAACTTCTTCGTAAATGTTTTGTCAAGACTTCTTCGTAATGAGCGTAAATCAGACAAAAATAATGTTTAGGGTAGAAGGTTAGATCTCACCTGTTTTCTAACCTCTTTTCTCACCTCATGAATTTTCATGATTTCATCGTACATATTTTGTCAAACATGAACGTATATGTTTTGTCAAGACTTCTTCGTAAATGTTTTGTCAAGACTTCTTCGTAATGAGCGTAAATCAGACAAAAATAATGTTTAGGGTAGAAGGTTAGATCTAACCTGTTTTCTAACCTGTTTTCTCACCTCATGAATTTTCATGATTTCATCGTAAATGTTTTGTCAAACATGAACGTATATGTTTTGTCAAACATGAACGTATATGTTTTGTCAAGACTTCATCGTAATGAGCGTAAATCAGACAAAAATAATGTTTAGGGTAGAAGGTTAGATCTAACCTGTTTTCTAACCTGTTTTCTACCCCAGTTATTTTATAAGCGTTTTACATGGTAAACGTTATTTTTTAAATTTTGTGAAAACTCAACGGTTTGACACGTGCCCTAAAAATTATTTTACTCAGAATTTTGTTGCTGAATTCAGCAAAAATAATGTTTAGGGTAGATGGTTAGATCTAACCCGATATCTACCCTCATTTCTACCCCAGTTATTTTATAAGCGTTTCACATGGTAAACGTTATGAATTCGTGAGACTCTAAACAGTTTCGTAGCTTCTATTTCTTCTTTTAGTACATCGAATGTTTTAACAATGCCGAAAGTTTCTTTATACTTCTTCTTGACGTCAGATAATAGGAAATCGTCAGCAGTTGGATAGTTTTTGTTCAGAAATTCTAACATGTCCATTTTATCTTCTGCTGGCTTCTCTGCTTCTTTCTTTAAGTCTGCATAGTCGTTTCTCATACGTTCTATCTCTTTGACGGAGTAGTTATATTTCCTAATTGCTGCTTTACATTTAGAACATTGCGGGTTCATTTTTGCGTTATATTCTGAAACCTTACCTGCTAAAACAACTAAAGCGTCAATTGCTCTCTTCATCTCAAACATAGCGGGTCTTATTTGTTTATTCCATACTTTACCTCTTCTATCTTCATCTCTTATCTGCCATACACATTCTGCAACTAACGAAACAAAGTTGTCGTAGGTCTTAAATTCTTCGGATTTATATATGTCAGAAACATTCTTATATACCATGTCGCAATCTTTGTCCATAACTTTATGGTTGCAATGAAAACCAAGGAATTCATAGTTTACTTTACGTATGAATTTCTTTATTTCTACTGAGTCAGTTGCTTTGACTTCAATTTCGTCGAATTCAGGAATAGTGAGTTTTTGTTGTTGGATTTCAGGTAGTTTAGGCAAATGGTCAATAATGTCCTGCATTTCATAAAGATACTGTTCATTTGTTTCATCTTTCGCACTACAGTCTAAATTACTTGTTAACAGTTCTTGCTTTATCTTCTGGATTTCTGTTTCAAAAGTATATGAAGAAGGAATGAAGTTTTTCATCTCTACCAACATTGACGTAGGATTCATAACTAACGAGTTTGGTGCTGTAGTTGTTTGTATTGCTGTTGTGCCGATTGTTGAAATCATATCTTTACATACAAAATAAAAAAATAAAAAAAAATAAAACTAACTTTATTTTTTATTTCGGGAAAATTCATGAAAATTCAAGAGGGTAGAAATGAGGGTAGAAAACAGGTTAGATCTAACCTTCTACCCTAAACATTCTCGTCAAATACAAAAAATGACACTTTTTCATTATATAACTGTTATTTTTTGACGAAGTGAACGTTTGCACTTCGTCAAAAAAATCCCTGAAATCATATCTTACATACAAAAAAATGAAGAATAAATAAAATAAAACTAACTTTATTTTTTATTTCGGGAAAATTCATGAAAATTCAAGAGGGTAGAAATGAGGGTAGAAAACAGGTTAGATCTAACCTTCTACCCTAAATTATATTTTTTGGTCATTTACGCTCATTACGATGAAGTCTTGACAAAACATGTACGTTCATGTTTGACAAAACATGTACGATGAAATCATGACAAAACATGTACGAAGAAGTTTTGACAAAACATATACGTTCATGTTTGACAAAACATGTACGATGAAATCATGAAAATTCATGAGGTGAGAAAACAGGTGAGAAAACAGGTGAGATCTCACCACTTCACCTAAAATATATTTTTGTCTGATTTACGCTCATTACGATGAAGAAGTCTTGACAAAACATTTACGAAGAAGTCTTGACAAAACATGTACGAAGAAGTCTTGACAAAACATATACGTTCATGTTTGACAAAACATTTACGATGAAATCATGACAAAACATTTACGAAGAAGTCTTGACAAAACATTTACGAAGAAGTCTTGACAAAACATTTACGAAGAAGTCTTGACAAAACATGTACGATGAAATCATGACAAAACATTTACGAAGAAGTTTTGACAAAACATTTACGAAGAAGTCTTGACAAAACATTTACGTTCATGTTTGACAAAACATTTACGATGAAATCATGAAAATTCATGAGGTGAGAAAAGAGGTGAGAAAAGAGGTTAGATCTAACCTTCTACCCTAAACATTCTCGTCAAATACAAAAAAATGAAAAAAATGACACTTTTTCATTAGATAACTGTTATTTTTTGACGAAGTGAACATTAACACTTCGTCAAAAAAATCCCTGAAATCATATCTTTTATACAAAAAAATACAAAATAAAACTAATTTTATTTTTTCTATCTTAAGGAAATTCATGAAAATTCATGAGGTGAGAAAAGAGGTGAAAAAACGGGTGAGATCTCACCACTTCACCTAAATTATATTTTTGGGTCCTTTACACTCATTACGAAGAAGTCATGACAAAACATTTACGTTCATGTTTGACAAAACATTTACGAAGAAGTCTTGACAAAACATGTACGATGAAATCATGACAAAACATTTACGAAGAAGTTTTGACAAAACATTTACGATGAAATCATGAAAATTCAAGAGGTGAGAAAAGAGGTGAAAAAACGGGTGAGATCTCACCACTTCACCTAAATTATATTTTTACTGAATTCAGCAACAAAATGAACGAGGTCAGGATGTATGTAAATACCTTTGAATTCATTCATAACGCCCTTAGCAAGCTCATAAAATGCTTGTTTTGAGGTCGAGCCACTTTTGGCTCCACCGTATTCTTTCAACCAAAACTCAAGAATTTCCCGCATGAATTTTGTATAAAAAGCAACCGTCTGAATTCCGGCGGTTGCTATATTCTTCACAAAATGCCTTATAATACTCTTCCCAGGACTTATTTTCCAACAACTTTCTCTCAATTGGAGCTGTAGCATAATCTTTGCGTAAGCGGTTCAGACCTTCTTCGAACTCTTGGTCTCTCTTCGATTTGTATTGGAATTGGAATTGTTGGGGTGGAGCTTGCTGGAACATCCAAGGGTTGGGGCAGTAAGGCATAGGCTGAGGAGGGTAGTTCGGGAAGCCTTGTGGTAGGTAGTAACCTTGAGGTGGAAATTGGTAGTAATTCGGAGGTACTTGCTGGAACTGAGGTTGCTGAGGAGACTGTTGTGGTTCTTTAGGTTCCTCTGGTTTGGGAATGGACTGGGTTGGTGGGACGTGGGACATTCGTTTGTGGCTTAACCGTCGGACCACCAACGATAAAAATCTCTGCTACTAGCAGTACTGCTACTGACAGTAGCAGTACTTTTACTGACAGTAGCAGTACTTTTTCTGACAGTAGCAGTACTTTTTCTGACAGTAGCAGTACTTTTACTGACAGTAGCAGTACTTTTACTGACAGTAGCAGTACTTTATCGTCGAAAACCCTCTCAAATTTTCCTTTTTACTGACAGTAGCAGTACTTTTTCTGACAGTAGCAGTACTTTTACTGACAGTAGCAGTACTTTTACTGACAGTAGCAGTACTTTTACTGACAGTAGCAGTACTTTTACTGACAGTAGCAGTACTTTTTCTGACAGTAGCAATGGTCGAGGTCGAGCCATTAGATGAGGCAGTTTACCTAATTTAAATTAACGACTGCGTAAAAGACTACTTGCGCAAGGTCATGAAGCCCAAGGTCAAGTTCACCACTATTTCTGGAAGGGCTGCCTTGAATCTCGAGACTTCGACTGGAATTCCAATTGAGGTACCAGAAGGCACTCCTTTCGACGACATAAAGGACGCCAAAAGAGAAGCCATTATAAAGTTCTTTGCCAAGCGTCCTTGGATAAAAATACCAAACAGAGAGAGTCCAATTCCACGAATTATACAAATTCTCAAGGGTCTCCTTCACTTCTCGGGTCAGCCGTTCTACATAACCTCAGAAGGCGACATCCAACCAGTTCAGTAAACATCTCATTTTAACTCACCTTTTTTATGTTTTTTGTGAAAGTGTCAAAAATAAATTGTTTTCATGAATTTTCTACGATGTTAGAAAAAATGTTATTTTCTAATATCTTCACATTCAATACTTTTTCAGCACTTTTCCGTAGTTATATATGAAAGACAATTCGAGATAAAAGTCATAGTACAATGGAATAATATGTTGCACACCATTTGTTGTGAACCAAACTTGAAAGTCAGAGAAACTGTTACTAGGTGGTTCGTAGAATTTAGAAGCAAAGTCATAAAAGTCCTTACCAATACATAGAAAACTATTGTTGCTTGAACTGAAACTTGCATGACACATAACATTTTGAGGGTCAAACACGTTTCTATAAACTGTCAAATCTGCTGGTGGAAGTATAAATTGAAATGGACCATCTGGTGGTAATGGTTCGTTCTGGTTTAGTAACCGAAGAAATTGTGCCCAAGAACGTTTGTCTACTTTCCAAAATAAAAACTCTGTATCTCTTGGAGGGTTAATTTCAATCTTTTGAAATGAAACGGTGGAGTTCATCTTGTCATATTCTAGTTTCAGATAGTATGTTCCATTTAGTAAAGAGTCGTATTTTTCTTGAAATTCCCAATAATATTTGTTCATTTGAGTTTGAAAGTCATTTAGAGTTTTCTCAAGACTTTCGTCTGAACGAACTGTAAAGATTCTCATTTCGTCAAATTTGTCTATTAGACCATCAGAACCTTTATACTGCCATGAAAATATACTGCGAACATAAATGCGTTAGTTCTATTTGAAAACAAAACTCTTCTAAATCCTATTGCCTTTGCATCTGAAGGACTTTGAAGCCAACGAATTGGATAGTCAAACCTGTATGCTCGGGATGAAATTTCTTCATCTGAAATAGTCCTACCAGCATTTGTAAAGATATAGTCTAACGGTTTTGTATCTGCTACTTTTGTTCTTTGTTTTTCAACCTGAAGCATTTAATATATGTAAAAATATATTGTTTTAAAATGGTATGCCATTTCATATTTCTCATCTAACAAACAAGTTTCCTTCAACTTGAGGTTCACTAACAAACTCAGCGTACATTTCAAATAAAATAAAAAAATGTCACTTTTTTTAAAATAAATTTTTTACTTCATGCAATGTTTAACACATCGAAAGGCATGTCCATAAGACGTTCTTCTTCTAACCTCTCTAGTCTGTTTGGATAATTGGCACGTGCTGTTTCCAAATCCATTTCGTAGCGAAGACCAGACAATTTGTCATAGACTTTTATGGGTCTTCCCTTCCTATATTTAAAATTCTTCGAAACTCTCCAACCATATCTTTGCAACTCTGCTTTTATTCTAGCAGACTTTCTATCCATTCTATATGGGGGCATTTTTATAAAAATAAAAATTTTCTTTACTTTACATAACCGCCTGCTGCCATAAGTCTTTGACGCCAACCCATACCAGCTAATGAAGGTTGACTTGGTTTAGTTTGGAAACTAAACTTTGGTTTTGGTTTATCTTCAGTTTTTGGTTTTTCTTCTTCTATCGGTTTTTCGTCACTTTTCGGTTCCTCTGACTTTACCTCACTTGCAGGAACAGTTGTGTCGTCAACATCTTCATAAATATCATATGCCATTTGTTTTTGTTTTCCTTTCAACTTTTTGTGTTTGTTGTAAAGTTTAGAATATTTCGACTCTAAGTCAATGAGATGTTCTATAATGAACTGTTGGTCAGTGAAGTAAACTTTTCCATCTGTTGTCTCGAAAGCTCCTTCAGACTTCAATATTTTATTTGTGAGAGTCTGTTTCTTTTTTGAGATACTAGCCGTTCCATTTTTATGAAAAGTGACTTTGTAGTTAGGGTTTGTATTTCCAGACCTGGCACTTTCTATTATTGAATTTTTCTCTTCATCTGTAAGTTCTTTGACAGGTTTTGACAATGGTTCTGAACTTTTTGTTTGTGGTGTCAAATCTACCGTTTCAACTTCTTCGGTCATTTCATCTCAGTAAAAAATTTTAGTTTGGTTTGTTTTCAACTGGTTGTTTAGGTTTTTTAAGTCGGTCTAAAACTTCCTGAGGTATAGGAAGAACTTGACAAACACGTGGTGTAACTGCTGGAAGTCGACAAATCCATCTTGAACCCATTTGTCTCAATGCTGTATTGTTCATTTCATCTCAGTAAAAAACTTTACATTCCCCACGTTTGAGGCGGTTGAGGTTGGTTATTGTTTACCCATTGTTGTGCATGGTTATATCCTCTGTTAAAGAATCTTTCACCTTGGTCCATATAGTGTCCTGCTTGGTTATAGTAGTCATTTGCTTTGTTATAATAGTTTCCTGCTTGTCTTCCTACATTGTCCATCCATCCTTGAACTTTTCCTCTTGTTTCAGGATTTGGAATAAGATTTGTTGCATCTCGTGCTACATCCCAACCTTTCTGTACAGTTTGTATAATAGGTTGTGCTTTCTCTTTCAGTATACCTAATGTACTCAAAATCTTCCTTCCAATTCCAAATGCACCTCTAGCTATTGTTCCCACTGCGGGTAAAAATCTAGATGCGACTCCTGCTAATGCGCCAAATAAACCCATTTCTTATGGGTTAAAAAATGACGAATCCAAACAAGGACCCCTATGTTTCTAAAGCGACAAAGAAAGCACTCATGATAAAAATCTTTAGTTCAACACCAAATGCTTGGTTTATGGATATCTTGGAAAACATTCCGAGGTATAGAGAAGATGGACCTCCATACTGGTTAATATTTGTTGGTCAAAACACAAGATACTGTGAAGCCATACCATTGCAGTCCAAAGCTATTTTAGATGTGAAAACTGCTTTGACAATATTCGTTGACAAATACCATCCAACAAAACTGACATCTGACTGTGAAAGTTCTTTCAAATCAGATGATGTAAAAAACTATCTGCGTTCAAAAAATGTAAACCAATATTTCATTGTCGACCAAAACCATTCTGCTCTTGGTGTCATTGACGGTTGTATAAAAATGTTAAGAGACTTAAACCAACCACAAGGTGGTGAAGCAAATGAAATGTCATATGACGACAAGTATAGACACTTCTCCATGGCAAAGATGAGACAAGTTTTAAATATTTACAATAACCGTAAACAAAAAGGTTTGGGAAACCACTCCCCCGAAGAAATGAAAAACAACCCCGACTTAGAGAAAGACTATATATTTAATAATTTAGTCAAAAGAGACAAACAAGAAAGAATGCCGGGCTTCAAACTTCAGAAAGGTGACAAAGTAAAAATAGAAATACCTAAACGCGACCCATATGAAAATACTATTGACTATGACAACAATGGGAACCCGACAGGTACTCACATTCGTGTTCGTAAAAATAGAAGAAAGTATACAAGAGAATATTATGAAGTTTTAGGCAAACATGGCAAAATGTACAGACTGCAAGCAGAAGATAAAACTACTATTGTCAGACCTCGTTTCAAACTTGTCAAAGTTCAAGGTGGTATACTTTCAAAGACAGTTCCTAACAAATATAAGACAACTCCTGACGAATATGCTAAAGAAGTTGAAAATGACGACTAAGCAATTCTATACCATGCGTAAACTGTCATGTAAGGTGGCATGTATTCTTTACTTTGTCCCGTTGTTTGCGTATATCCTGAAACGTGATGTGTATGGTTTCCTCCTCCCTCAGTGTTACTCCAGTAACAATCTATAGCAAACTTAACGTTGTCTTTAACATCATATCCTTTACCTTTTATCATTGCTGACCAATCCCAATATCTATGCTTATGCCAACCTGCTTGAGATGTACTTAAATCTATGTAGTGACTGTGTGCAGGTAAATTTTCACCCGAAATCGTTTTACTTCCACCTGTTTCCTTTGAAGAGTTTGCACAATACAAAAACCTGTCGACTATTTGAGTCCAAGTTCCAAAACCAAGTACTACTTCTGGTCTGGTAGAGTTCATTGACGTATAAATAGAGCCTATAGGATATAATGTTTGAAGTATTTCTGTCTTTAATGTTTGAAGCTCTGTTTTGTCTGCTTTCTTGTCATATAAATCTTGAGCAGTGAATTTAATATTATGTTCATCCTTCATGACATAAACATCTTTACATCTAATGTTTCTCATCGTCGTTATGTCGTCATCCGATGTTAAACCTTGTGGAAAGTTAGGAGGTTTACAATATAATGCATCCCCACCAGTTTCTTCAACCGTTCCTTCAATACTTTCTATAGCAACAGTTGTGAAGAAATCATGTGTATGGTTCTTGTCTGCTTTCTTTTCAAGGCTAACGTTTAAGTCTGTTATTTCAGATATAGAATGTGTATGTCCAACGTCACTTTTCCTGTTTAAGGTTTCTTGTAAGTTTGTAATATTTGCAATGGTATGTGTATGTCCAACGTCACTTTTCCTGTTTAAGGTTTCTTGTAAGTTTGTAATATCAGATATAGAATGTGTATGTCCAACGTCACTTTTCCTGTTTAAGGTTTCTTGTAAGTTTGTAATATCAGATATAGAATGTGTATGAGTCTTATCTGCTTTTGTCTCTAATGTTTCCTTAAGACTTGGTATTTGGTTAATATAATGTATATGAGTCTTTTTAGAATATTCGTTTTCAGCTCTTGTCACTTCACTTGACATTTTATTGTCAACATATGTTTTGTCTGCTAGTTCAGGATGAGTATGTTCTTTTGTTGCATAAGCATTGTTAGCTCTTTCTTCTTCTTTTGCTATTGCATCGTCTACATATTCTTTGTCAGCTTTGTTGTCAACATCTGCTTTCAAAAGAAGTTCATTTATAGGTTTCTCGTTTAAAGTTCCTTTTGTTGGATTTATACAGACAGTATGGTTCTTCTTGTCTTGAAATAGAAACTCATCTGTTAAAGGGTTTAATGTCAGTTTTAAGTTTCCTTCTTTCAATGACTCAGATATCTTAGAATAGTTTGAAAAGTTTGTTGTGTTCTTATTTAGAGCTTGCATAATGAGTTGTCGGTTGTGTTGTATTTCTCTCATGGAAGCAATATCTTTCGACATTTTTATTCTAGATAAAATATGCTTCCAATAGAAAAAGAAAATTCAAGAGTTGCTACAACTAAACCATTAGATGAACTTTTTACTAATGTCGGTCAAAAGTTTGAGACAGATACCGTAAAGCATGAAGGCTATCGTTTTGACTACCCATTAAGATGGTTAAGAGACCCATCTGTCACAAAAGCTATTGGCTTTCGTAGAATGAAGTTCATTTCAGAAGCCATACATGGTTTCCCATTTACGGTCGGTTTTGAAGTTCGATACTATAACAAAGAAAAACGTATGTATGAGAAATTTGAACAGGGAAAACTTTTACAAGTTAGTTTGCTTGTAAACTTAGAAACAACTCTTCAAGCTTTTCAAGAAAAAATAAACGATATCTATATCGAATATGCAAACCAGTATAACATTGACGAAGGAGAATACCATCTCGATATTATTTATGACAGGAAAAATGCAACTGTTAAAATCAATAGAATAGAAGACCTTGGAGAAAACGTTTATATTTCTACAAAATATAACAACTTGGCATGGTATAGATTTATGAGGATGTTAAATCAGCCTGCAGCATATCCAGTACACCCAGACTTTTATGAAGTCGAAAACCCTAATGGAACATATGAAAATGTTTTCGACCCAGATGCTATTATTGTTCATGCTTCATTTTCTGGCGCCCAAAACTCTTTCTTATGCTTGGCAAATGACTTTTACGAAAAACCTACAAAGCTATATGAACCGCCGAGTGGAAGTATTTCAGACTTTCAAGTATGGTTTACTACAGATGGAAGAAAAAGAATAATTCCATTATACCATGCGTTTTACTTAGAACTTAGTTTCATATACAACTACTATCGAACGGTAAAAATATAATTTTTTAATACGGTTGAGGTGTTGGATTTGGTTGCCAACTAGACTGTGGTGCAGGTTCAGGCTGTTGTATAACAGGAGCTTGTTCTTCTGGTTCAGGGTCTTTAGGTATAATACCAACAAACTGACCTACTCTTTTACCAATATTTTTGACTCCGTTCCAAATTCCTTTTCCGACAGATTTTATTCCATTCCATATACCTCTTCCAACTCTTCTGAAGAAGTTTCCAATACTACTGAAGAAACCCATTTTACTATATGTAAAAATCTAATGTCCACCTAGTCTCTTACGTTTCCTGTTGAGTTCCATAGCATTCTTTAACTGGAGCTCATACATTCTGTTTCTCCTCTGGTAGAAAACATATTCTGGGTCAACTCCTGTGTTCGCGTCATCTGCATAAAGTTGTTTATATCCCACTTCAGGGTTTGTATAAAACTCTTTCCATCTCATATTTGCATACCATGGTGGCAAACCTAACGCAGCGTCATTTGACATGGCAGTTTGCATTTGTACATCTGTTGGCACTTGACCATAGTTTGCCATTGCAGTTTGTATTCTAACTTCATTTGGAATATTCTCTGGGTTTGGTTGTCCAGGTTGCTGTGCATTCGCTAAGTTCTGTGCGTCCATTTAATATTAGATAAAAATATCTCTTACGAGTACATATACTGAACATTTGCAGGCATTGGTTCATCTTCATATTCTCTGTACTTTTCTGCCACGTCAAATAAATAAATGACACAATGGAAAAAACCTAAAACAAGTAGTCCTATTTCAAACCACATTTACTTACTAATAAAATTTCGTTATTGTGACACTTTCTCCAGTTTATAGGACC